AAATAACCATGGGAAACAAACCCACAAAACCTGAATTAACCGCTGATGAGCAGTGGATGGAGAAAATCCATCCAGGTGCCGGCCAAATAAGCGCAAATAAGTGGAGGAATCCAGATAAACTTAACTGTGTTGCCTGGAAGGGAATCAGTAACCCCACCCCAGTGCAACAACTCGGACAATGTCTGAAGGAGGAAATAGAAAAAAGCAAAGGCAAAAAGAAAGGTAGACGTATGTCAGAATACGTTAGTTTCTTTGTGCCATGGCAGGAAGAGAGTAAAAGACGTGAGAAAAAGAGAAAAGAAAAACAAGACAAGCAGGCTAAGAAAGTACCCACCGAGACCGCAAACCCCCCACCTTATAAACCACAGCCCTCAGCCCCGAATCCTTTTGAAGCGGGACAGCCGAGCCCCCCAACCCCATGTCCCACCATCTCAAAAAACCCTTTCACCAGCCCTCAAGATCCATACGCATCAGCTAGGACACGGCTAAAGTTAATGACGCAACCGGACCCTTCTCCGGGGTTTCCACTCCCCTTTATGGCCCCTGTCTCCGTTAGGCCAATTCCCATTGATCCAAGAACCAAACCCAAACTATGGACGCGCAACGGGACCAGCAGTAGACGGTGTAATCCCCAGGGACAATAGAGTAGTTACATACTCATTCCGCCCGTGGTCAGCAGAAGACCGAAAAAATGTTCTGAAAGATGTGCCCCCTTTAAATGAGGGACACCAGCAGTGGAGAGATGCAGTAGAGCTAATCCGCGCAGATTGGTGTCTTAATGGTAGAGAAATGCTACAGGTGCTGCAGGACCTTTTAGGTCTAAGATTAGCCAGGGTAAGGGGAAATTACATAGGGACAAGAGAAGATGGAACGCCGATAGAAGCGGGCCATGCTGATCTGACCGCCGCACTAAATGAGGTTTACGAAAGAATTAGGGTGACTTTAGCCCCCAGACCAGATTACGGAAAAATAGAATAGACAAAACAAAAAGATAATGAGTCTGCTTCAGACTTTTTAGACAGGCTGAGACCAATCTTCAGACAAAATTCAGGACTGGAATACGATCCAGCCCCTAACTCCGCTTATGAACAGCAGCTAAAGAATGCATTTTTAAAGGGCCTCCTCCCAAAGGTCCGCGCTCACATAGACAAACACTGGGTCACCCAAAACACTGGGAATTTAGCCGATGCTTTGCAATACGCGGAACATGCAGTAAAAGTTCAAAAGAACAAAACAGCCCAAACTGGAGTTTTTGTAGTAAATACTGAAGGTGGAATTGTTGCATACGCAGGAAGAAATCCACAAAAAGGGAAAGGCAGGAAACAGAACAGAGATGACAAAGAAAAACACAGGAGGTGTTATAACTGTGATAAAGAAGGGCATTTTGCCAGAGATTGCAGGAGCAGACAGAGGGAGGACCGCAGGGATAGGCGGGACAACAGGGACAGAGACAGGGACAGATATGACCGCCCTGCTAGACGAGAAAGGCAGGACAGAAACGACAGGGACAGTACTGAGGAAATGTGACTAGGCCCCCACCCAGACACCTCAAACGAACAGCAAGAGTGTGGGGCTGAAATTTTTAACATTCATCAGTTACTTTTAGGCTCTGAACACAAACCAGAAGTAACTGTCCACATAAAGTGTCGCATAACCCTACACCACGTTATGCGACACTGGCGCATGTATGACAGTCTTAACAGAAGAACCTCCAAAAACATGATTTTCAAAAGACGCCCGTGTGGTCACTTCGGCCTCTGGGCACACCACTACAAAAATGTTGACCCAAAAATTAGATTTCCTGCATGCAGACAGCAACCGAAAATGCAAGCTACAATGCATTATAGACCCCAGCTGTCCGGTAAATCTGCTAGGCCGTGACGGATTGATGACATTAAAAATAGGAGAAGCCCCAAAATCACTAACAAAACAGCAAATGATGAGTTTCCTCGGTCTCTGTAACTTTTGCAGAAGCTGGATTCCAGAATATGCTCTCAGAGTCCAACCCCTACAAGACTTAATATATGGAAAAA